AGAATATAAATATAAACACACGAGGAAAATACATACGTAACACAAAAGTTTGAAATAACTTCCAACTGAAATCTTAAAAAAAAACAAGAGAATTCGGTGTTGCGTGATGGAATGGCCACACTGAGGTTTTACAGGAACAAAAACGTGGACTTTCTTTTTTTTCCTTTTTTTCCAAAAGGACCAAATAACAGTCGCCATCGTCGTGCAGGTAATTTCATTTGTAGATCGAATATTAACTAATTATGGTCATTAGTTTCGGATGCACCGATGAGATATTATTTTTAGGATATCTGCCTCTCTCTATTTGTATCTCTCTCTCCATATGAATATAATTGATTCAAGGAAATGTACATATAAATATGCATACAAATATCTAAACACACAAACACAAATAAGAATACATAAATAAAATATGAGAATACTGTACCACGCAGAAAAAAAAATCATGTTATGAATTGAAGCTTCGAATCTGTCTCACCCAATACAAAAATAGTGGTATTAAGAGGACGTTCGAAACCGAACTCGAAACATGCTCGACAAAATTTTTGACCGTGATTACGTTTACGGCATATTACCCGTGATTCCGTTTTTCGTCACTGACAATTTTTTTTTATATGGGACGGACTCTCGAGTGGATGCCCTTTCCAGCCTCGGACCGCTGGCAGGGCTCGAACCCGATCGCTTGGAGACTCTTTTGGGTCCATAAAAACTACAGGCAAGTACAGAATGTGTATGTGTGTGTGTGTGTGTGTGTGTGTGTGTGTGTGTGTGTGTGTGTGTGTGTGTGTGTGTGTGTGTGTGTGTGTGTGTGTGTGTGTGTGTGTGTGTGTGTGTGTGTGTTGCTTGTGTATGCGTGTATGTGTATTGCGCGCATGCATGCGTGAGTGTGCATCGAAGCGACAGAAAAAAATAAAATAATCCCTCCCACAAAAAAACGAACAGTATAACCCAACCTTAAAATACGCATCCAAAAAAACATAAATTATCGCGAACACAATTACGAAAGAACGACGAGGAAAACGGCAGCCAGGCTTCAGGTTAGTTTGGCAAAATGGTTTTAAAAGGGCCCCGGCGTTTGCCATTTTCCTGGGTCATTTTCGCGAAATACACCAGTGGCTGGAATACACTGGGGTTGAAGTGAGATGGACTAATCTCACTTAAAATGTATATATTGAATGGGTACTGATACCGAGGAATAAGTTTGTGAAACTTATTTAACATTAAAACAAAAACAGATAATTATGGTGGTGGTGGTGGTGGTGGTGGTGGTGGTGGTGGTGGTGTGGTGGTGGTGGTGGTGGTGGTGGTGGTGGTGGTGGTGTGGTGGTGTGGTGGTGGTGGTGGTGGTGGTGTGGTGTGGTGGTGGTGGTGGTGGTGGTGTGGTGGTGGTGGTGGTGGTGGTGGTGGTGGTGGTGGTGGTGGTGGTGGTTGGTGGTGGTGGTGGTGTGATGATGATGATGATGATGATGGATAATAATTGATAAAATAATGCTAGAAATAACACATCATGATGGCCATGATCATGATAATAATGATGTTGATAAAATGATGATAAACCATCATCATCATAAAAAAAACATCAGCGACATCACTAATAATAATAACAAAAATGAAAATAATAATGTTAACAATGATAATAATAATGATGAAAATCATGACAGTAATAACAATGATAACGATTACGAGATATGCAAGAGATAGCATAATGCATATCAACAGCGTCACGAGATTATCCCTGGCTCAATTACGCCCAAAATAGGCCAGTCAGTTAATAACATTAATGAATCTTCAAGTGTTGGGAGGCGAGGTTGGCAGGCATAGAAAACAAGTTATCGAAAGAAAACGGGATGAGAGAAAATGGGAAATAATACTGTTCTGGGTTCAAGGAGGACTATTAGAAACTTAAAATCGTTGCCTGTGACTGAATAAATTGTTGGTGCTAAAAGTAACTGTATAGTCCAGTCAAGTGTTCTTTCCTACTTAAATCCTCAAGCACAAAATAGAAAATCCTAATTATTAACAAACCATGGAATAATTACAAAAATAGCAAATAGCAACCATCATCTACCCAAAATTCACATCTCGAACAGAAAACGAGAAAAAAAACAACAACAAAAACAAACAAAGAAACAGACCACGTAATAAGACCAAGAAAATATATGTCTTGGCGCATTTCCTTCTGCTGTGCGTGACGCGTGTTGTGTGCGTGCGTGAGGGAAGCACCGCACGCACACGCAACCACTCCATACTTACCGTCACAGGCCTACTCATTACTTCCGACGCTACAGATTACTCTATCTGCCAACTCAAGGGGGAAGTTTCACGAAGATATTTTACCTGCATGTAATATTTACATACACACACGTATATATGCACGAACACACACATTCATGCAAAATGTAACCACACGCTAGTATGTGTGTAAATGAATACACGAATAGTTGTGTGTATGTTACATTTTCTTTACAGTTTTGAAGAATATTTGAGGTGTGTGTTTTACAGGCATTCCCATCTACACACACTTAGAAAAATACATATATATATACACGTATTTATGTAATTACTTGTGTACGTACGTATGTATGCATGTATGTATTCATGTATTTATGTATGAATGTATGCATGTACTGTAAATACATACATATGTACGTATGGGTATATATATGTATGCCTATGCGAACAGAGACACACACACACGCACACACACACATACACACACACACATATAGCTTCCACCATTATTTCCTTTTTCTGCTTCATCCATCTTTTTTCGCTCTCTCAATGTCTCTCTCTCTTTCCCTTCCCCTCTTCCTCTTCCCCTTTTCCTTTCCATTTTCCTCTCCCTCCTTTCCTCTCTACTCCATCCTCCTCCTCCTCCTCCTCACCCCTCCCCTCCCCCTCTCTCCCTCTTCACACTATTCCTTCACGCACATTCTCACTGTCACATTCTTCCTCCTTTCCTCCCTCCATCCCGCTCTCCTCCCTCTTCCTATCGCCCCCACTTCTCCTTTTCCCTCCCTTCGCGCTTCCTACTTTCACACTCCGACTTTTACTCGCCCTCTCCCTCTCCCTCTCCTTATTCCCTCTCCCTTATCTCTCCTTCCACGTCTTCTTCCCTTCCTCTCGCTTCCTCCCTCTCCCTTTCTCTCTTCTTCCTCCCTCTCGCTTCCTCTTATTTCTCTCTCTCCTTCCCTCCCCCCTCTTTCCTTTTTTCCCCTTCCCATTTCTTTCTCTCCTTCCCTCCTCCTCTCTCGCCTCTTCCCCATTTCTCTTTCTCCTTCCTTCCTTCTCTCTCGCCTCTTCCCCATTTCTTTCTCCTCCCTTCTTTCCTTTTTTCCCCTCCCCATTTCTTTCCCTCCTTCCCCCTCTCTCCCTCTTCCCTTTCTCTCCTCCTTCCTTCCTTCTCTCTCGCTTCTTCCCCATTTCTTTCCCTCCTTCCCTCCCTCCCTCTTTCCTTTTTTTTTCCCCTCCCCATTTCTTTCTCTCCTTCCCTCCTTCTCTCTCGCCTCTTCCCCATTTCTCTCTCTCCTTCCCTCCCTCCCTCTTTCCCTTTTTTCCCCTCCCCATTTCTTTCCCTCTCGCCCCTATCTCTCTCGTCTTTTTCCATCCACGCTGCGGCAAAAAGGAAAGATTATATGATATAATCACAATAATAACCTGGAATGCAGTCACGTTCACAATTTTGTGTTGTATTTTCGTATATTTTTTCCGGTATAAGTAATATTCGCCATAAGTAATAAGTGATAATATTTGGTAGACGATGGAGGTAATAAATATAAATAAATTTGGTGGTAATAAATATAGTTAATTATTTAACATGCAACGTGGAAAGAAAAGTAATCAATAAACACCTAACGCACATATATAAGAAAATAAAACCAAGGACAAGAAAATGTGCGGGAAAAAAGGAAATTTGGCAACACAATCACCGCCGAGCGAGAAAAGATGATCAATAAAGTCTAATATCCCGCCATAAAACAGTACTTAATGGCCTTCTCGCACACACACAATCTGGCGCACGTGTATCGGCAAGAGCGTCCGTCCGAAGGTATATAAGTGGATGAGGTGTGATTTGATCGTCTTTCATACAGAAGAACCTGCAATGTTTTGCAATAGCGACAGAATGATTTGTGCATGCGTGTATTCCTGTTATTCTGGGATCCAAAGACAGCACTCTGAACACTTCTTTCTTTTATCTTTTTCCTTCCTTCTTCTCTTATCTCTGTTCCTTCCTTCCTTCCTTCCTCCTCTCTCTCTCTCTCTCTCTCTCTCCTCTCTCTCTCTCTCTCTCTCTCTCTCTCTCTCTCTCTCTCTCTCTCTCTCTCTCTCTCTCTCTCTCTCTCTCTCTCTCTCTCTCTCTCTCTCTCTCTCTCTCTCTCTCTCTCTCACTCTCTCTCTCTCTCTCTCTCTCTCTCTCTCTCACACACACACACACACACACACACACACACACACACACACACACACACACACACACACACACACACACACACATTCACAGACACACACAGCCGAGATAAGATCAGCACATATGCGCTCGAGTAGAAGAGGGGGGGGGGGGAGTGGCCCTGGCGTCGAAAAGGCCAATAGCCGAGGGGAGATTGTTAACAGCTAAGTGTGGTGGGGGGGGCGAGGGGAAAGAAGAGAGATAAGAGATAAGAGCGTGTGTGATAAGACGATATTACAATCGCTATTGCTAATGGTCTAAAAAAAAAGGTAATTACAATGGCAGGGCTAAGAACTTGGGCGAGGATACTAATACTGACTCACTGATTGTCTGTTTGTCTGTCTGTCGTCTGTAAGTCTGTTTGTGCCTGTCTGATTGCCTCCTCTCTTTCTTTCTGTCAGTCTGTCTCTCTCTCTCTCTCTTTCTCTCTTTCTCTCAATCACTCACTCACTCACTCTCTCTCTCTCTCTCTCTCTCTCTTCTCTTTCTGCATTTACCTTTCTTTACATCTGTCTACATATTTTTGCATGAATGAACGAAGGCGTGACTCACCGTGCGCAGTGTAAGTCTCGTAGAAGTGCTTGCTGGTCTGCCGCAGCCTGGAGAGGTCGCTGACACTGCCGCCGTATGCAACCCTACTGGATCTCGTTCTCGCTTCTGATTGGTCTAGGATTCTGGACGAGGTCATGGTGTGGGTTGCAGGCTTCGAGGGCGAATAGCTCGAGGACGAAGGCTTGATGGACACGGAGGAGAGCATCGGGTACTGGTGGGGGTAGGAGGAGGAGGAGGAGGAGGGCGAGGAGGAGTACAAGTAGGAGGTCGGGAGCTGGGGTCGCTTGGGGGGTAGTGGGCTTGGGGCTGAGGGGTCGAGGTGTGGTAGGGCTGGGGGGAAGGGGCGTACGGGTGGCTGTAGTCCGGGCTTTGGTGGGCGTCCTGGAAGTGACGTTTGCGCGCCTGGAGTTCGGCCAGGTAGCTGGAGTTGAGCCGCCGACTGTCCCTGTCCACGAGGTTGTACAGGTTCCTCTGCAGTGTGGCCAGGTCGTGCTTCCCGTGGGTGACGTGGGCGGGGTGAGTGACGTGGGCGGGAGGAGGGGTGAGGGTGGGCGCGAGGGCGGGCGTGGCGTGTGAAGGAGGTACAGCATATGCCGCCCCTGCCACCCCCGCCGCCCCCACAGCCGCCGATCCAGGCAGCCTTTGCGACCAAGGGCCACTGAACCTGTCTGGCAGAGGCGTGTAGGGCGCTTCCACCTGGCCGTTGGCCGCTCTGCTTCGGAGGGGCGAGCGGCTGTACTTGGGCGTGGTGCGGGGAAGGGCGTGCCGCTTGTGGTCCTCCGTCGACGTCGCCTGCGTGACCTTCCGCGTGGTCTGCGTCCCGGCGTGGTGCATGCGCACGATGCGGGGGCGGCGGTTCTCCGAGTCGTCCCCTTCCCTGGCGCCGTCGTCGCCAGAGGGAAGAGCGCCCCCGTCGCCTCGGGAGAACGACAAGCGCCTCCGGGCCTTCTCGGGCTCGGGAGGCCCTCTGCGTGGGGACGCTGGGCCTCTCGACACTCCAAGGCCATCGCCTTGAACCCTGGCTTTGTCCTCGTGGCCCTCGCTCACCCTGGCTCTCTTCACGTCAGCCTGCTCCTCTCTCGTTTTCTTGAGAGAAGAAGGTCTGTGTTCCTTACTACCTTTCTCGCGCCTGCCATCACGACCCGAAATGCCACCACCATCACCACAGCCTTCGTCACTATCACCATCTTTATCACGTCTAACCATATCACTGTCACCGCGTCTATAGGCCCTATCATCGGCATCACCATGTCTTTTAATTCTATGATCATCATCACGTCTTCGATCACCATAATCACTACCACTAGGTCCCTGATCACCATCACCATGATCTCCCATCTCTACGTCACCGCCCGAGCCGGTCCTTCCCTTTTCCCTGCCCCTTACGAACTCTTCGGCCTCCCTCACCGTGGCCTTCTGGCTCCCCGGCTGCAGGATGGTCAAGGAGTCCGCGGGGACCTCGCCCTCGACGGAGGAGTACGTGGCAAGGGCGCCCGCCACGTCGTAGGAGCCGCTCCGTCCACTCGCAGCATCCTCGGCGTCGTCTCCGTCTTCCCCGAGGTGTCCTCCCGGCCTGGATGACATCTGAGAGTCTTCGCTGTCGATGTTTCTGATGTCGATCGGGAGATGCTCGTCCTCGTGCTTCAGGGAGTCATACTGGAAGTCCTCGTCGTCGTCTTCCACGTCGGGAGATCGCGGCCTCCGATGATGAGACTCGCTTCTAAATTCCTGAGACTTTTGTCTCCCTTTTGGAATGTGGAATCCTTCGTCTATCCCAGACATTTCTCTCTCTCTCCCGGCTTCTTTCTCCACTTCTCGTTTTCTTTTCTCTTCCATCTCCTCCGCCACGAAGACTCCTATAGAGGGCAACTTTTCTGCTTTGGGCGGCGTCACAAGCCCTTCCGAGGCTGTCGGAGTTCGGGTTCGAGGTTTGGGCTGAGGCGCAGCGAAGGAGGAGGATCCTTCCTCCGTGAAGACCTCATCGACCTCTCCTTCGTCGTGAGACCCCAGCGTCTCTTCGACGGAGCTCGTCTGCGCGATTCGGGGTCGGCGTGGCTGTGGCTGAGGCGGGCTCTCGAGCGTGAACTCGTGGTGGCTCTCGCTCGAGGTGAGGGAGACGAGCGCGTCCTCGAGGGCCCTCGGGGAGCCCACGTCGTCCATGCTGGCGCTGCGACTCTCGAAAGTGATCACGCAACCGTATCGGCCTCGCTGCTCCGGGGTGCTGCTCGTCTCGCACGCCGCCTCCTCGTCCTCGAAGTCGGAATCTGAAGGCTCGAGGATCTCTTTCACAAGGCGCTCTTGTTTGATAGTATCGAACCTCAGGATATTGAGCTCAGTCTTGGCTGCCTCCTTCCTGGCGACGGACACTGAGGTCAGGAGGTCTTCAAAGGAGGTGCTGGAGGTGGTGTTCCCGAGGCTCTCCCGCTGCCTTTTGGCGGCCCACGTGTCCTGCAGGTCCTCTAGATGGAGCGATCGACCCCGCTCCGAGGACCCATACAGGTACCTCTTCCTCCGTGCGCCTTCCCCACCGCCTTCTCCTCCGCCCTCGACGCGCTCTCCTGCCTCTGACTCCTGCGAGGTCTCTCCTCCGGCGGCGTAGGGACTGTCGGCGTGCGCAGAATCCTTGTTGTCCGGAGAGGGCGGGTCGCTACCATCCTCATATCCGAGGTACACGCCACTGCTGGTGGAAGACAGCCCCGCCAAGAACTTCGAACTCGCCCTGGAGAGGTCGACGGCCACCTGGAATGCCTTGGACAGGTTGGGCGACGAGGTGGAAGCGCCGAGGAGGCCCTGTTCTCGGAGGCTTCCGTAGGAGATTGAGGTCTGGCACAGCTGACCCTGGGACCTCCCTCGCGCTAAGGTTCCCGAACGCCGGAGGGGAAGATCGTCGTCGTCGCCGTCGTCACACGATGGGAAGCCTCTGGTGGAGGAATCAGCGAAGGGGGTCCTGGGTTTGCCCCTCCTTCGTCCCCTGGGGCTGTCCAGGGCCGTCGAAGAGACCCATTTGCGGGTGTGGAAGCCCCCTCCTCTCCCCCTCCCTGCGCTTCCTCCTTCTTCCTCGTAAAAGACGCCCTCTTTGCTAGTCCCAAGCCTCTCCAGGTGATCTGAGCTGAGGTATCGAAGGCGGAGCTCCGGCGCGTCGCTCCAGAAGGGTGAGGTCTCGTCAGACTCGAGGAACAACTCGACAGCGAACTTGTGGGGGACAATATGGAAGGGGTCCACCTTATAATCCCGCTCCCGGGGCTCCAAGCGGCCGCTCACCACGTCCAGAACCTGCAACGTTAAACGCGGGTCACTACAAAATGAACACACACAGAATACCACGACACGTCTCCATTTACAGTCACTCAGTCTTGCTCAAAGGACAATCTGCAATCAAAATCCCCTACTTCGGAAAAATAAATAAATAAAATAAAATGCAGCGACAGACAGTAACCGAGGTACAAACCACAGCCAACTAGAAATGAATGAACAACAAATGATACCCCTTACTCCCACGTCTCCTTCCAACCAATCAACACCCAGTCCTCCCAGCCAATCACGTGACCCGTCACCATAGAAACCACCTTATTAGAAACCCAGAGAACCAATGGTAACACTTAGCACCCGACGAACCGCGTGTCACGGAGGGAGACGCCGAACCCTCAGAACAGCAGATGGAACAGCACGGGCGAGAATGATCTTATCTTTATTGATGTTTCCGTAGCGGGTAATTTGGGGACACTTCGTCCAGCAGCAGCGGGAGGAGAGTTGGGGTTACGGGGTCTACGCGGAGGGGGGGGGGGGTTTTTTTTTTTGGGGGGGGGGCTATTTAAACATGTGGTCGTTGCTTTCTGGGTTTTTGTCTTTGGTTGGTCCGGATGGTTAGTGCTTGCCGCATGTCTGTCTGTCATGTTTGTCTGTTTGTCTGTCTTTTTGCTGCTCTCTCTCTCTCTCTCGCTCTCTCTATCTGTCTGTCTGTCTATCCCACGCACATACACACACAGACGCGCACACACACACACACATACAGACGCACACACACCACAGACGCACACACACACAAACACGCACACTTTTTACCGCTCTCTCTCTCTCTCTCTCTCTCTCTCTCTCTCTCTCTCTCTCTCTCACACACACACACACACACACACACACACACACACACACACACACACACACACACACACACACACACACACACACACACACACACACACAGCTTTAATTCCGAAGAGTAGGCTTCAATCCCTCAAGAGAATCCCCGAAGGCGTTTCAAATCTCCCTCCAAACTCAAGCGTGACGTCATATGTAAACAAACCCGACATGCAACGAAATAATTATCCGTGAAGTGAAGGTATGGGACAAAAATTTACATATAAATAATTTCAGATTAGTTTCTTTCGGTGTTTTGTTGGGGCGAAAAAAGTATTAGCTTCGGCACATGCGGTAAATAACTTCGTACATAATAAATAAATCAATGAAGGTGTGATTCCTGTTTTTAACCGTTATTTTGTCACCCTTTAAAATGACAACTCTAACACGGGAGAACGTGTTAAAAATATTGTGAAAAGTAGCCATATCTGATAATAAACGTTTCACAAGGACTCAAACAAAAATATTCTTTGTAATGTTAATGTTGTCGATCAAGAAGTTTGATTCACGAACCCCTTTCAGGTTAAACGAGCGTTCTGCGTTATACAAATATAGCTATATACAAATATCGTTATACAAATATGGTTATACAAATACAATATATATATCTAAGGGTTATAAAATCAGTCAACCAGGCACTTTAAATAAGAACCAGAAACATGTTAATGGGACGAATGGTGAATCTTGACTTATTGGCCACTACACCATAAAAAGGAACACTCCCTAAAGAACAATAACATCCAATCTTTCCAGAATTCCCCTTATCTTTAAAGGACTCCCCTTATCTTTCCAGAGCTCGCCTTATCTTTCAAGGACTCCCCTTATCTTTAAAGGACTCCCCTTATCTTTTCAAAGACTCCCCTTATCTTTAAAGGATCTTTAAAGGACTCCCTTATCTTTCCAGAATCCTTATCTTTCAAGGACTCCTCTTATCTTTCAAGGACTCCCCTTATCTTTCCAGAACTCTCCTTATATTTAAAGGACTCCCCTTATCTTTCAAGGACTCACCTTATCTTTAATGAGGATGAACCCCGAGTGGAAACCGCAGGGCACGGGGATGGGCTTGGACTCGTACCATCCGAGGTCAGCCTTCCACGTGAGGGTGACCTGTGTTCCCGTCACAGAGGTCAATACGAGGGTCACCTCTTGCGCCCGGCAGCGCACTGTGCGGCACCAACGAAACCTGTACGACAACGGAAACATTAAAGCACGTGGTTGAGACAAGAATTTAGGACGTAAGGGATCAAGGTCTATGTAAGACCTATATAGACCTTGCGAGTGATCAAGGTCTATGTAAGTACTTAAATAGACCTTGCGAGTGATCAAGGTCTATGTAAGTACTTATATAGACCTTGCGAGTGATCAAGGTCTATGTAAGTACTTATATAGACCTTGCGAGTGATCAAGGTGTATGTAAGTACTTATATAGACTTGCGAGTGATCAAGGTCTATGTA